ATTTTGTGATTTACAGTTACAATTAATAATTGTCCCAGTAAATGCCCAAACCCTACAGAACTGGTGCCTTCAGAGAGCCACTACATTTACATTTCGGCTATGATTACAATGGAAATAACCTTTACTTGTTCCTTTGCAGACATTTAAAAAAAATACAAAGAGAGAATATAATTTAACTCATCTACCTAGTTTGTTTGCTAATAGCTATGCTTCCATTTTTAAAGATTTAAAAGTACTTTCTATAGTTTCCTCTTCATTGGGTTTGTGCTTTATTGTTGATTCTGAAGAAGTCGGTTATCAAATATTCATTCAATTTATCAAATAACTGATTGAGAACATCGATTCCTGAATCACGTGCAACTATATTCTTCAAAACTAAAGAGTTTCAGTCCTTTTAGTCTATCAGAGTATGACATTACTTAAAGACACATTCTAAGAAGGTATTTGTCTTTGGAATAACACTTCTCTGGAGTGATTCCAACAGTATATTTTTTGTAATGCTGACTATAAATAGTTTCTTCTAGCTGGGATTTTTTATGTTATCTATCATAAATAAATTGTATTCATGAGCATATTTTGGAGAAACTCAAAAGTGGTGTAACTCATGTAAAACATGGGAAACTAAATAAAACTACTTGGTTCAGCAGTCCCTTTTATAGATGTCTGCTCCATTAGTAATTTTCCCATCAATGGGTATTATGGGTATCTTGAGTGACTGTTAGAAAAGGATTAACAGTCTATGAATAACATATTTTGCTTACTTAATTACAACTGGTAATACATCATCAGACCCTGGGGATTTTCTTATCTTAAGTACTTCTAATACCTGTAAACCTTCTGCCTCATCTATGCTAATACGCCTTAATATAGAGCTCCATTTTTGCTCAGCCTGAGGCATATTGTCAATAACGTCCTTGGTCAAAACCTATGTCAAATATTCATTTAATATATTTGCCATTTCCCTTTCATCCTCTGAAGGTTTCTCTGAAACACTTAATCTTTTAAAGTTCTTTTTATTTTTGAATCCTGAAAAATCTTTCTTGTGGCCTTCTTAACATCCCTTTTATATGTGTGTTTTTAATATAATGAAAACCCCATTCTTACTGGACGTTGTTTTTTTTTCAAATGTTTTTTTTTTCTTTATATTTTAACTGATTTAATAAACAATTTATTTTGTTGCCTTTTTGTGGCCTTTCATTTATCTGCTCAGGGGAACTTTTTTTAACTCTTGCCATCTCTTCTCTACTGATTCTGTATTCATGCTATCCCACTATATTTTTCTTCAACACAAATTACAGACACAATTTCATTTGATATTTTCTATTTAAATATTTTTATTTTATATTTGTTCTGTTTTCTTAGTCTGTCTTGATTGTTTGAAAAGATTAGATCAATGAAAACATTGCTTCTTGTAGTTGCACTGACAAACTAAGTGATAAACCAGAAATTAGGCATGTTAAAAAGTAAATTGTTGGACAAAAAAACACCATCTAAAGGAACAAGCAGAAATTAATTCTACAATAAAAAAATGTGAAAAAATAAAGTCAGCTGTGTATGTATATAGTTCTTTAAATAAGGAACAAAATTATGAAATAAGACTTTTAAGTTGCAATTAAAAGATAAGTTTGTTGTGGTTCAAAAGCAAGATATGTTGAACTATGCTACTTGTAGAACTGTTCCTTATGTGTTGTTCACATTCCCAGATATATGAAATTGTGTTTACAAAGAAAGGATAAACTTGCTTTTCATCAAAGCCTTTAAAGAACAGTAATTATTGTGTCAGCAGATAACCTTAGATGTTTCATTAACATATCTCTGCAACAGTGGCATTAGACGTGACAATGTGATTTTTTTTCTTCACTCAACTATCACTCATATTTTCATATTTCTTTTAGTCACATTTTCAGAAGCACTGCTTTCTTATTGTAGCTGAAGTTGTCCTTGTTGAAGCATATTGTTTAGCTTGTACAGGAGCACAGGGGGTCAGATACTGTATCTTACAGTTTCTTGTACATTTGTCATACAGTATTTCCAAATGTCAAGAGTTTTAAACATGGATCAACCGAAGGACAAGGACTAAGTAGGCCTATTCCTTGTCCACCTGAGCACACCTCCTTTGTGTGTTTCCTTGTAGTTCTCTGTCAAAACCTCAGCTGCTGCAGGGTGGTTTGCAATTGTGTTACTGTGACAAGATATATAGAAGCTTCGCAGTCAGTCGAATTATTTTTGAAATTCAAACATGTTGCTAGGTGAAATAACCCAAGATGCCAACTAGTAATGTTACATTCAGCTGAGTCAAGGGAAAGATATATGTATTTAAAGTGTGAAGTGCTTTTTTTTATCCACAAGACTGTGAAACATTTTATATGTGTTATTCTGTTTAGTGTTTACCTCTTAAAAATAGTTTTTGTTGAGGTTTATTGAGTTGCATTACAGTAGGTCATCTGACAGCTTTTCTTTATTAATATAGCTATTTTTTACTTTATTTTGGGAACTAAAGTCAATGAAACGAGTTAATACAGCACAGGCGGAAGCATGGTCAAAGCCAAGCAAAGGTCAAATCAAAAAGACAAAAACAATAATCAATGTTGGGAGCAAGCAAGGGTCAAAACCAAAGGGCCCAACCAAACACAGCGGCACAGAACAAGTGCTTAAGCTGAAGCAAGCGTCAAAACTGAGCAATGATCGAGGAGAGAAATCAGTTTAAATGGCAGGCTAGATAAATAAAAAGAAACAGGTGTGGATGATAATAACTGACCAGATGCCAGACATGATCATAAGAAATTAACATAATTTGGAATAATAAAAAATTTTCAAGAGAAGCATGAACATGGTTACAATTAATAAATAGAATTTAATATAAAATAAGCTGTATATCTGACAATCAGAGGCAATACCCTCTGTCGCTTGCAGGAAAATGAAATAGTCCATTGTAACCAAGATAAAGAGAATGTGTTTCAAGGTTTCCTAATTATCCCACTCTTACTTTTCCTTAACTTATCCACTGAATATTTGAATACTGAATATCCCATCTGTAGAAGTTTAGGCCTCATCAGGTTAGTTTGTTTTTATTCAATGTAGGTGTCATGGATGGTGATCCTTAAATGCAGGAACTGCTTTTAAACTTTTAGCTTTTATACATGATTACACCATCTAGCAATTATAATAGTGCCAAGGATTCCTTTTTCTACTTGCAAAATGTTCTTTTTATCTCCCATAATCATCACTGCACCAACGGACCAGGAATATAGTCTTCCTAATATTCCATTTTATTAGCCTATCAACCTACCCAACACACAAAAAGTAACTTCATAACACAACAATTTCTGTAACTGCCCACCTGACAAACTTTTGCCAACCAGCACAAAAACACCATCGACCCCAGTTCCCAAAACCTACTGGACCCAAAGTAGCAGCTCAGTATCTCCATCCTATAAAACCATCTGCAAATGGTGACCTGGAGTGCCTCCTTCCTCCACAGCAAAGAAACTCTGTGGTTTTAAGCTTCTCAATACCGGCCATTCTGAAAAATGTTGTCCCTTATACAATGTGTCCCTCCCTCCTACCCTATTTTCCTCTACTGTCTCTTTAGAATCCACATCCATTCCTAGATGCTGTGGTGAAATCTGTGTTTCCTCCACTATTTTCTGTCTCTGTGTGCCCTGTGATTCCTGATGACAGGGGTTTTTGAAGCCCCCCTGATTCTTTTCTGGGGGGGTGGTAGTGACCATTTGATGTCCTGGGTGTAGGTAGAGCTGGCTGTTTGGGGTTCATTGATCAACTGGCTATATGAGGAAGGCCAGGTCCCTGTTATAGAGCCCGGCTCTCAGTCTGAGGCCCAGTTAGATGTGTCTCACAATCCCATGATTGTCACCTCTGAACTGTGTGGTAAACAAGTGTCTGTGCGAAAAGAACCTTTAATCAAAGAGAGCATGAAGAACAAGAACAATCCACCTTATGGATACATATTTTACATGCTGCCACATGTCTACATTTTTAGTTGAAATATATGAGAAGAATATTTGTATTTACACGCTACATAATCCCAAACCCATCAAAGACCTTTCTTTTGTGTCACATTTTTTTTCACCATTACAAATACGTGGGGCAATTGTATTATATGCTCCACATTGGTGGTGGTGGAGGGGAGTCTCCATTACCTGTAAAGCGCTTTGAGTGGAGTGACCAGAAAATTGCTATTTAAGTGTAGGCAATTATTATTATTATTATTATTATTATTATTATTATTATTATTATTATTATTATTATGTGAAATTATGTTCGTTTACATGGATTATTTAAATCACGTTTCCTTATTTAAAGCCGCTCATTTGTGCTTCCAGTTTAGCTGTAGATTTTTTTTCAGCACCTTTCGTGTTAAGTTATACAGTATATGTTATACAGTAGCAACGTATTTCGTAGCGAAATACTATACTACAGGGTTATATAACCGGACATCTCGCATTAACTCCAATTCGCATCACGAATCCTGATAAGATAGCGAGTTAATTTATTTTAAATGACAAATCTGGCTACTCTAGTTAGTCTTCTAGAATTCAAAGTAAACAATAAAAATCCATTGCTTCCTAAATGTTGCAAGACTGGGTTGAATAAATTGAAATAGGAAAATTACGTATTGAGGAAATATGCTAATTTTAAATTAAAACATTTGGTTCTTCATACGGCAGCTATAAATTCTAATTATCGTTTCATGTGACTTTTACGATGCGATCTGTTTTCTTCTAACCTGCCTGAGTTTATTTTTGCGTGTGTGGTGAGGGGGTTACCTGTGCCTTAAAACCTGATTATGAATTTCGGGCAGGCGCTGCTGGGCATCTTAAGTAGACGGAAGGGCCTCGTTTCCATGGAGCTAAGTAAACATAAACAGACCAAGGCAGAAGCAGCACGTGTATCGAGTTTGGAAAGAAACTGAAGTTTTATTGACTTAGCAAAAGACCTTTCATGTTTGATAAGATTAGATAACTGCGCTGTTATTAAAAGGCATTTTGTCGGCGACAGAAAAACGAGGATAATTTATCTACTCAGTCGCCGTCATGTCTCACAGGTTTGTACGGGCGCCTGGATGTAACCTGGAAGAGCTATACAAGTGAACAGCCAATAATTCATGCAAATGTTTGGATAAACTTGGGTATAAATACAAACCCGAATTGTTCTCCTTATGACATAATACTTTTAATTTCCCTTTTCATCCGCTCCCTCACACTGTTACATTTAATTGCTAGGTTTGGGAAACAAAGCAGCCTTTATGTTGGCTATACATTAAATAATTTATAGTATGATATGCATGCAGAAGAGATTGAAATACAGTGTACGAAAGTTTCAAAAAGATCAGTTGTAATATTAAAGATCAAACGATTAATAGAGTTTTGGATAAAAAAAACGTTTTTTTTCTCGCTATTATTATTTTGTTCTCTTAAGAATTGTCATAAACATACATTAACAAGTGACGCTTTAATCGTGTAACGCTTTATTAAGCGTTTTATTAAATAACGTTTAAAATAGTTTTTGAATGGCTACAAACAACATACTCAATATATTCTAAGATTCTTGTATTCTCTTTCCAAACCATAAATATTTAACTAAATCTTACTTTTTATCTGTTATTTCACCTTCATGCATGATGGTCTACTTGGCTGAAAACTGGATCTCTGTTGTTTTTTTTTGCTCTTGGCATATTAACACATAGCTTTTACATTCACTTCATATACGTCAGTCAACTGTCTAGATCTATACAAGCTACCATATATTTAGTGTTCTTATGATGCGTGCACTGTGGTTATGTGAAACATTGTATTATCATCTATATATATAACTTTCATAATATATGTCTAATATATATTCTATACATATTAGGTTTCAATTCAAGTTCTTGAGAAATGGAAAATGAACCTGGAAATTGCATATGTCATTGATTTTACAGTATTATCTGTTTCTGTGCTACGTGCCTTCATATGTTAAATACGATTCATTCTATTAGATTGTTGTCTTTTCTTCCAGAACCTACAATAAACTTTGGGCAGATGCCCATGTAGAGCTGTCCAGCCTGCTAACTCAGGAGCTGCCTGCACAGCCTCAAGGCCCCGAGAAGGACAGAGTGGTTTTTTTCCAGCGTGTGGCCACTCTCTACGTTCGGTATATCCAGATCTTCCGGTCACTGGAGGTGGCATATGACCAGGTGGTGCATCCCCAGAAGAGGCGTGTAATTCGGACAGTGCTGGACGGAGTGATGGGTCGTGTGCTGGAGCTCAAGAACGAGATGGTGGAGAAGGAGTCTTCTGAGTATCACTACATGGATGACATCATCCAGGACCTGAAACTGACGCCGGTGAGCTGGTTCACTGTCACTTCATGTGTGTGCTCACAGGCAGGAAGAGGAAGGGGACACCAGCCCAGGCTTAATTGATTACAAAATACAAAGTACAGAAAAAATATATTTGCTGTTATTAAGCTAGGAAAGCCATGTGTCCTTCACGTCATTTTCAATATTGTTGAAAAAGCATTTAAAAATAAAAAAATACTGCATATACAGTAGGCCTATACAGTATATCAAATAGGAATCACAAAAACTTTACAACCAACATTCTTACAAACTTCTGTGTAAAAGCCTACAATAACATGTAAGTGCATGTTTAAGTTGCCAAAGTCATCGGATTGAACCATGTGTTTGTCTACACATTGTGGGCCTTTAAAATAATTTAAAATGCTGAATTTTAGGGTAGGCATAGAGATGGTTCATCATGGAGCAATGCTAAAGTAAAGCTACCGGGGCAGTGTTTCATGAAAACAATTTGAGTAGTGTGGTTTTTGGCTATTTTCTTACTTTTTGTGTTTCACTACTATGTATAGTGTAGTAGTGAGTTTGCACTGACTTTCTTGTAGAAGTTGTAATTTTATTTAAAATGTCAAACAATTTTAGACTCCCATTACATCTCACTAAAAATTGATTATTGTACTTGGTAATTTTATTTATATTTATTTTTATTGCTTTTAATTAGGATTCAAACTCCTTACTCCATATAGATGGCAAAATAATATGAATTAATGTATAAAAAGATACAAAATCTGGTCCAGTTTCATATAATTTATAAAAGATTCTGATATTAAGTAAAGCATTTGTGTAAACTGTTTTTTAAAGGCTGCACTAATAGGGGGATCCAAAGCATCTGAAATGAAGAAAACAAAAATATTCAGAATGAAGCCGCCTTAGGCATTGTGTTTGTAGCCATTCAAGGACTAATTGTTAAAGCTGTTTTCACAGATTATTAACAATAATGTGAATATCAAAAGTACTTTCACAGCATCTGTATATTTATTTTCATACATTTAATATCTTAAACAAAGGTGAAACATTTTTAAATTATTTTAAAGTACACTAATCTTAATTGCTCCAAGTGTCCTTTCTATGCAGTAGCAGTGTTTTGGATTTTCCACAAGATGGCATCAGAGATAAACTAATCTGTTTAAAAGTTCGTTTGGGCTGAAGATATACCTTCTATATTCAGAAGTATTTTTTTCATTTAAATCATGTAAAAATTGAACATTTTTGATAAATAGTTTATCATTTGAAGTTTGAGTTTACACTTTGCAAGAGGCATTGCAAGAGACAGGAACTGGAAATTGAATAGAAACTAGTAATGTCATATGTAAAATATAAATAATAGCACACCATCATTACAATATTTTTTATACAGAGCTAGGCTGGTAAAGATGTGTTACTGTTATATACTCTGTTGTGTGGAAGCGTTATTAGACACAGTCTAGAGCTACATAGATAACATGCGCCTATGTGTATATTGCATGTACTTCTGCAATTTACTCTTGGAATCCACTAGTGTTTTGCACAATTCTTATGCTTTGACTGTTATTAATACAATTTAAATTGGATGAAAAGGAACTAAGCTGATTATTTAACAAGCTTTAATTTATAATAATCAGAAACTTAATTATTAGGTGTTTCTTGACATTTGCAACATTTGCTCCTCTTTACACATCCATCGAGCTAAAAGATAAAAAAAACACAGATATCAGGATTAACTATATTAACTGGATTATTTTCAAATGTAATAGCCATATCATCATAAAACTGTTTGTGCCTAAAAAAGGAAAAACAGACAGTAGAAAAAACCTGAAAAGTAGAAAAAAATGAGTTTTACAATTGCATTGTAAAATTATTTTGAGTTGCATAGGCTTCTGTACACAATAATATACTTGCATTTAAGAATTAAACTAGTGTAAAGGAAAATTCCTTATTGTCTCAAACAATTCTAGGCAGAGATTGAGATTCCCATTCCAAAATACTTCATTGGTGATCGTGCTAAGGTCCTGCAGGACAGAAAAGAGATGTTAGCAAGAATTCTGGACAAGATTACAGTGGTGGAAAAGCCCAAAGTAAGTCTGAAGTTTGTTTTTCTATGACTGGTGAATTCTGTTAACTATTTAGAATTTGTACTTAATGTTGCAATATATTGCTACCAATGTATAATCTAGGCTACCCATATATTTTTTTACTGTATCAAAATTCTTTCAAACAGTGGTACTTCTTTTCAACTAAAATAGATAATATTTCGGAAAGTTAAAAAAAACTTTTAGATATTTAAAATATATTTTATTCTAAATACTGCTAAAAATCAAAGTTAAACTCTTCCACCAGTCAAACCTAATAATCTCTGCTGTCTTCAACTACAAATACTCCTTTTTAATAATGAACTTTGTTGCCTGAGATTCTGAGCAAATGAGTAGTACAGTATGTATACTGACATGACGGTTCATATTGGAGATAAAAGTAACTCAGATGTGAATGTCTGTGTTATGTATATTGTTTGATAGGAATGGGTATCATATTATATACAGTACATTTTATTTACAAAGCACCTTACATAAAGAATAATCTCAAGGGACTTGACAAATGTTATTATTTCCTTACTAGATGGTCTTATCCAGGGAGTTTTGTCCGATAATACATAAAGTACATATAACAATATAACATTCAGATACAGCTGGGAAGTAAAAATAAATAACAATGAAAAGCAAAACAGTGAGGTACATGCTAGAAGTGCCATGTATACATAGCAAAGAAGAGAGTGAAAAATATATTGAGTGGCAAAAATGTAGGTAGTAATCATAGATTACAGTGAAGAAGGCAAGCCATTGAGCAGAGTGCAGTGACAGCTGGGAGTAAAATGTTCACAACTGTGTCAGGGAGATTGCAGGTGCACTCTAAATGAATGTGTCTTGAGAAGATGCAGAGATGTGGTGTGGGACTGAGCAGTTCTGATTTAAGTGGGTAGTTCATTCTTCCACTGCAGAGCCAGGGATGTGAATAAACAGGGCTTGCACAGTAGGTGAGGTAACAGACGGTCTGGCAGAGAAGAAGAATCACAGAGTTGGGGAAGGATTGGATTATAGGGAGACATGAGGGACTGGAGAAATATTGAGGAAGAGTGGATAAGAAAGCAGAAGGTAATTATACATGTTTTGAAATAAATGTAAACAACTAGGGAGCCAATGGAGGTATTAGAGTAACTGCATGGCAAGAGAGAAATGAGGCAGAGAAAAGATGGGCTGTGTAATCTGAATGAGTTGAAAAGGATGAATAGCACTGGTCAGGAGTGGAGTTGCAATATCTCATGCAGTAAAGCACCAGGATTTGAACTAGAAGTTGTATACACAAGAAAGTGAGGAAGGGAGGAATCCCGCAGATATGGCTTGAAAAGAAGCAGAACATTAATTTGATTGGAAGTGGAGGAAGGAAGAAAGAATTACACTCGGGTACCTGGCAGAGGAGGCAGTCAAGTGGAACAGAGCTGGCGAGGTCGATAGAAATGGAAGAAAAGAAGGTCAGAATTAGATAGCTTTAGTTTGAAATGACTAAGGGAAATAGTAAAGAGGCAGTTGTTAATATGCGAGATAAATACTGTATATCAGGTTAAGGAAAAAAAGAAGATCTGAGAAACATCAACATAGAAGTTGTATTGAAATCTGCAGGAGGAGATTTAAAGTCCTAGGTCAAGGGTGTAAAAAAAGAACAGCAGGAGATCCAGAACACAGCCTTTGAGGACGTACATACTGTACTGTATAGCATTTTTCAGGCCAGAGACCAAGCTATAACAGGATTCATAGAGCCTGTGATTGCAAAACAGATGAAGAACCAGGTTTAAACAGTGCCTAAAATTTCTAGGTCAGTACATATAGTTTAGTTAATAGTCTCAAAAGCAGCCGAGTTTTTACAACAGCAGAAAACAGCCCAAGTTGACAGGAGGGCATCACTAATTGAAAGAAGAGTACTTTCAATAGAGATTGTTGAGTGAAAGTGGTGGTCAAGCAGCTGAGAGAGGTACAGTATGTGGAGAGCTGGGAATGTGATGCCTGTCTGTGGTTTTATTTTTTTGGACAACTCTTTTATTTATATTTATTTAAACACCAACCCCACAGTGGAGAAAGGACAGAACAATTACATAACACAACACATAGATATTTTCCTGTGATACAAAATGTTCATTGCAGTCATTTAGTTAAAAAAAAGAGAAAAAGAAAAAACATCCTTAGAAAAGGCACATAAAACATTACACCATCTACGCTAGTACTGTATATCAATATAATTATTTCAGGCCACCAATGCAGCGGTAGAGGCCAAGTGCAGCTGAGTCATGACTTTCTGGAAGCAAAATATCATGTACTGCAAATATCCTAATCACACACAAGAAATAACAAATAACTGGCGCAATTCAACTCTTCAGTAAAGTCCTCCCTGCTAAGAAATTCTCTTATTGAGCACTGATAGTGTTAATTGATAGTGTTAACTAAGTGTTAAGAGAAACAGAAATTCAAGGGATTGGGGAAGAATAGTACCAAATGTATAGCCCACATATATCCAAAACACAATCATTTTGAACCACTCCCATATAGTGTAAATGAATTCCCATTACTTGGCCATACTGGTAAGTAGAATCTGTTGATAACCTATCTGGAATTCTCCTAATTTGAATACTAAAGCATATCTATTCTAACCATTGATAGCGGATGTGTGGTGAGCGAACTGGCACACTTTGGCTGCCATTGCATCATTCAGATGGGGGCTACACAATGTAAGTGGAGGAGAGAGTAAGTGTAAAACACTTGGAGTGTCCAGAAAAACTCTATATACAGTAGGTGTGAGGAATTATTTTAGCATACAGGACTATTCTCTATTCTTCGCTCTCTATACAAAATTCATAACATTAGAAGTGGCTTAATTGTTTGAGAAATTTATGTTTTGTATATTGAGGAAATAACCCCCACTTTAACTGACATATATTCAGTTATAAATCCAACAATTCCCACAGTGGATGTGGACATATGAAAAAGAAAAAACACAAGAGATTATTTAATTTGTAAGTCCTAGAGAGAATGGAGGCAAGAATCATCAGATATGTTCTTCAGAATAAAGAAACACTCCTTCAGTCAACCAAGGAGAGAAAACAAAGAGATGAAAATTAGTCACTGATCTGTAATTATGGCATTTTGTGTTCCAAATTTGGAAAAAAAATAATTTCTTCCAAAATAAAAAGGTGTTAGTTTCCAGTTTTAATTTTGGCCAGTGCATTATAAATTTTAATAATTAAGTATTTGGGGGTTCCATTTGTGGGTTTAGATGGAGTTGACAGAAGAGAAGAAAGATCAAAGATGGATATATGTATATATTATATATTTATATGTATGAATATTATATAAATATATGGCCAATGTTATATTTTCCAGACCTGGTGTGCTATCTGCGTGGAGTTTGTATGTTCTTTCTGTATATGTTTGGGTTTCCTCTCACAGTCTAAAGATATAATAGTAGTTAATTGGCTTCTGGTGTGAGTGTGAGCATGACTGTGTTGTCTCTGTGTTTGTTCTGTGATGAAATGGTGTCCCATCCAGGTTGTACCCCACTTTGTGCCTGTTGCTCGCCGAAATAGTTTCTCCCTCCTTCACAACCTGAAATGGATACAGAGGTTTGGATGAATGTAATGTTTTAATTTAATATACATAATTATAAAACACATAATAATCAGAAGAAAAAAAAACAGAACGAAATGCAATTATGCAACTGTTTTGAAATGATAAATTAGAATGAACCATTTAATAAAAATATGTTTTTAAACATTATTAATAACATAAACAGTGTTTGTGTCCTTGATATCAATGGACAGTTTGTCTCCCATTGTACACAGTTTAGTCCTTGGAACTGTGCAAACTTTCTTTTTTCCACAGAGCACAGGTTCTGATTTGGTTTGCATCTTTGATGTGCCACCAGTGATGATGATTCACTGATGCTATGAAGTCAAGCGTTTTTTATTGAGAAAAAAAACCCTGACTTTTTGTATTTAAAGTTATGGGTCTATATCCCTGAAAATGAGATTTTAACTGCACATCGAACTGGATCTGCCCTGCTTAAATATCTTGTCACCCAAGTGAAGAGATCTGGCATGCCCCAGAGAACACACTTAAGTTTGCCTCCAGGCTGAATCAGCCCCAGCTGAGGATTGAACTCACAACCTTCTTAAATGCTTTTACCATTCTCTTGTATACTCAGCATGGCAAAACTTCCATTTTGTGTTTATATATCTTATTTTTCAGAAAATGTTTGTGTTTTAATTTTGGATTTTTTTTTCTTTTTGAACTACACTGAAAAAAAAAATATTTGTTTCTATTGTGTGTTTTCACATCCTGGTTCCTAGCGACAAGTCATAATTGGGCACATTTCTTCAAAAATATCCATCTTCATGCCATTTGTCTTTTATCATGTCACAGACTACAAAGTCAGGTAAAGGAGATTTGGTACAAAACCCTCACCTGTGGCATCAAAAGATTGCTCTTACCCAAATTGCAAGTACCACTGTTTTCCAGGAGCCATAAGAGTTCTGGTTAATTATTCCCAGCCTTAACCTCAGCAGTACTCAGCCAATTCTGTACCACTGCCTGGGAAATCCCATTCATGGTCACCTAGTGCCATGAGCTAGTTTTAAACTTGTGCCATCTGTATCATAGAGCTGAGTGACTTTACTAGAGTCACTCACTAACTCCCATTTTTCATTCTAAAGTAAACATTTGTGTAGGTTGAACAAGGTACTTCTAGGTAGTGCTTCTTTGCAACTGCATTTTCCTCTCAAGGAGTTTCTATTTATCAGAAACAGCTGCATCATATACTGTATATGAGTTATTTCTATAGAAATATTTGCTTTATGTGAACCAAAGAAAGCTACAAAGAAGTACTATACAACTGTAATGTAGTACAACTATAAAGCAGAGGAGGTTTCAAGGACCTCTTGCACAAAACTTTATAGACATTTCTGTAATTTTTGATTTTGTGAATTGGGATTTTGGTGATTAACAGTGGACCTGTAAGAAAGGTTGCATACAAGAGGAGGCCAATGAGCCCACCCACAGTAGCTCAATGGGCTGCCAGGGGCTAGTTCAATAAAAAAAAGTATTTAGTAGTTTACATATTAAAATTTTCTAGGTCCGTTTGTTCATCACTACAAAGATTCAGTTATTTTAGCTTGACAGAATAACATTTTCCTTTAAGCCTAGGATTCTCTCTGGTTTTTCTTCTCTGGACTGATTTTCTATAATGTTGTATCCAAAATTGTACACAATATCCTAAATGAGATCTTAATACTGAATTTTACAATTTTAACAAAACATCTCTTGATCGAAATTCTACACTTTTGATTATATATCCCATCATTATATAGTACAGTATCAGAGTAATATCTGATGCTATTATTACAGTATACAGTATATGCTCTCTGAAATAGACAATATTACTTTATTGTGTTTGTAATATATATAACTTTTAAATTAATCACTTTCTGAACTAAGAGTAAGATTTTTATCATTTTCCTTCAAAACCCCTCACCCTTCAAGTTGCATTCAAATATTTGTGGTATCCTTGAAGATTTTTGCTGTCCGCCCCTTGACTCTTGAAGAAGCCATCAAACTGATCCAGGTGTCAGAAAGAGCACGACAAGGGCGGCTCAGGGCTAAGTTCATGAAGGAAATCCGTCATGATGAGGAGAGACAGAGAAGAGCCAAGGATAAGGATGTGGGATATGCAGGCATGGATCAAGCAGCAATATGCATTCAGAAGGTGAGCAAAAACAGAAGTCCCACATTGAAATGGGCCGTTCAAATTTATCAATAATGTTTGCATTAAATTAATACCCAAGTCTAGTTCAAGATGTGTACTTTTTTGTTTTTCATTTTTCTTTCCTTACAATTTGCTAAAAACATCTGTGAATATGATTGTGACTAATGAAATTTGATTTAAATTTGTTTGACAAAGCTGTCCACACCTGTGATGGGGAAGCATACACTTCTTCTTAAAGAATACTTGTATAAAACTGAAATATGGTCATTTCTTACAGGTTTGTGCCTTAGATATTACATGTAATTGATACAATTAATTAATCCTCTCAAAATGTGTTCATTTATGTGTCAAAAATATGTCTTACAAAAGACCACAAACAATGCACAGTATTAGTCTCAGAGAAAGTGTACGATCTATCAATAGCTTATCAGAAGGTTAACATTCACACCATGTAATGGACTTTGCTTTAAGATCTCAGTACATTAAGCATTGAGAATAATTAGTGGAAACAGTAGTATCGAAAAAAGTATTCAGATTATGGTTTCTCATTTTGTGAAATTACCGTATTATACATTAATATTTTATTCAAAATCTGAATTCTCAAACTGAAGAGTATTAAGGATATGATAAGTAATATAAGTAAAAGGAAAGAAAATAATCAAATATGTTTGCATAAGTATTCAGACCTGTGAACTTTATATTTGGCGGACTCACCTTTGACGGCAGTTACAGACGCAGTTATTTATGGGTCGCTACCAACTTGACATGCTGGTTTTGTGAAATATTTGCCCATTGTTCTTTGCACATTTACTCAAGCTCTCTCAAGAAGCTGCTTGGAGATCACTTATAAATGGCACTTAAGTGTTTCCATAGATTCTCCATAGGATTCAAGCCATTCAAGATATTTCATTTTAAGCATATTTTTACCTTGTGGGTCGTATTCCTGTTGAAATGTGAATTTTTGTGCCAGCTGTAGGTCCTTTAAGATTTCCTAGTACTTTTGTTGATGAGACGCTAAACCTAATTCTGCCACCATCATGTTTTGTTTTTTTTTTCAGTTTCTTACAAAATCCTCTTTTTAGAGTGCCTAGGATATTGTTGTCCCATGGACCTTTTCTCCCATCTCAGCCAATGTAACTATTTCAGTGTTGCTGTTGGCCTCAGCAACTGTTTCCTCCTTGAATCACCTTACAGAAATGGTGTATTTACTCTGATATCATGTGGACTGTTATTTTATTATTGCTATTATTGCACTCTGTGGCTCTCAACCTATGGTTTAGCTTGTTAAGATAAAGTTATGCACTTAAGTTAAATATGTGAATTATCTTTTTATTTTTGTTTTTTGCTTTGAATGTGTGGAGTAGGTTGTTGTACCAGTGAGGTGCCACTCCACTAGGTGAGGTCATTGCAGGCCCAGCTGTACCTTATTTTCTCATACATTTACTTACTTTTTTTTCACATAATTCTCAGCTTCAACCACAGACACTATGGCACATACTCACCCATACCAAAGTCCCTCTCTGTTCCAGAAGTGGAGATATGTCAGGCATCTTTTGTTGCCAGACAGCCAGTGTCTGAACAAGCTGTCCCTGCTGCCCTTCTTACACAGTTGGGGTTCTTGTGTCTGCACTTTATGTTAATTAGGCAAAATAACAATTGTTTGTGAAACACAAGGTGTAGTTATCAGGTGTTGACTTTCTATTAACTCAGCAGGTTCCTCATTGGTTGGACATCTCTTGGGTAATGGGCAGTGACCATTGACCCATTGTCTTGAGTACCAGACTGCAAAGAGCCATGCTGCACCACATATCATTAGAGATTTTCAGAATTAACTCAGCTTTACAATGACCCTGTCTGTGTTAGTGACTTCAGCTACATTTTACGTTTAGTCCCAAGTGGCTTTGCCAAGACGACAGAAATGTTATTAAAAATTAAAAAACGTCATTCTTAGTGTAATTATATGCCTTGCCACTACAGCTGCAATGGTTTGTTTGCAAAATGTAACAATTCATCACCAGAATTAAATGCTTTTAAACACTGATCAAACACCTTCCATTGCAAGCAGCAATGGAATCTCATTGGCTTATAATAAAATAAAAGTTCACTAGTGCTGAAGAAATCTCATGAAGCTGTTAGTCATGTTTAAAAAATGTCTTAAATTACAGTATACACTTGTCTTTCACTAAACTAAAACAACATTATTTGAACTATTTTATATTAGGTGTGGAAAGGCTTTATACAGCGTAAGAAAACAAGGAAAGAAAGAGAAGAAGAGTTGATCTTTATTGGCATGGTGAGTACAACACAGAAAGGTTACAGACAAGAGTGGGCCATCAAAGCCCATTGTGCACATCTTATATTTAATTACTTTCATAAACAAACACCATATGAATAGAATGCATACTTATTTATCTATTAGTAATATTATGTTTTCTAGTATGCCATAAGGGTTATTTAAAGAGTTGTTCTGCTAAAGCAAGGTCTTGAATAATGCTATACGCAACTATGGTTTTCCTTTTAAACTATCTGATGAAGAAAGAATCTGACTTTTTAATGACTATTTTAACTATAATATTTTTCCATTTTTCATACATCTTTGAATGTAATCAAATATAGCTTAACATCTATCTGGTATACAGTATTCAACTGTTATAAATTAAACTAAAATAAAAGAAAACACTAGATGGCAGTAGTTTATATAAGAGCCACTAAATGCATGCTTTATTATAACATTCAAACCCAGAATTAGCTAAATTTTAAATTCTGAAGATTTTTAATTTAATACTGTCATCTTAAATGAAAAGTAGTATTCTCCATAATCTGATGTGATATACTGTAGTGACATGCTGAAATGCATTCTGCCCTTTTAACTCACCATATTAATTTATATTTTCATTATTGTTCAAAACATACTCCTTTGTTGTAATTTTTATTGAGGAAATATATTTTTATCAATTTTATAGTATATGGTATAGTAAAAGTATAGTACAAATACAAACTGATTTTAGAATAGAAGAATAGGACTTCTTGTCTGTGAGCAACCTAATAGAAATTACCTAATAGAGAAAAAATTATTCCAAAGGCAATCTGATTTTTTTTTTACGTCTTAGATATTTTTAGGAAATCACCTAGGAATGGCCTTGGTAATATCATGAGCATGAGGATAGTGGAGTGCCATTGAAGGCTTCTCTATTTCCTGTGTACAATCTGCATTTCAAAACAGTATCCTGTCTACAGAAGTCTCGGAAGGTTTAGTTCTGATGGCAGCAATGGTATTACTAAATAAACGCACTTTCCTTTATACAATGAGGAACCGAAAGAGTGAATCCATTTTGTTTCCATGTGGATCCTCGGTCTCTGTTCTCAGGATTACTATCTTTTATATTTTCGATTTTTTTTTAATATTTGGGCCCATCAACACATTTGATTGTAGCTGATTGATCCCAAAATCCATCTTTCATCAAAATCAAAATCAAAGCTTTCATCTTTATAATAACACATTCTAGAAATACATATACAGTTTTCTTTATAGATAACTGACTTCTTGTTTGTCTAAATCATTTATTGTACATTTTATTTCTATATGTTATTTTTTTATTGGAATAATTTCAATGTGGTCTAGCTTTAGAAGAAAAAACTCATTCATACAAATAGTTGCCTGCAAACAGCTGTTAGCCTAAGAAATAACGCAGTATACGGTTGTCCTACCTGATGATGGCTATTCTCTTAAGTTTTACTTTAATCTCTAATCACTATTAAAACTGTATCCTCTTTTTCTTTATCATTTTTATTTACATGGATACCATTGAGCCAAATATATATTTTTTTTATTCCAGCAAAATATTTTACAGGTACAATATTAATATGTACTTCTAGATCAGTCAAAAGTATATAAATACTTATAATAAACATTGATTACCGAACAATACAACAAATAAGGGGTAATAAACACAATTTAAATAAAAATAACCAAAAGGAACTAATTGTAGTACTCTAATCAGAATCTAATGGATTTTTAATTTTTTTCTTACTTGTTACTATATTTTATTGTTAATTTTCAACTCATCCTTTTTCTGTCATCAGAGAAAGAAGTCAAACATCCCTTGCTAATGGTAGTATTTAGTGGTCTTTTTTCTGTTTAATGATGTTCCCTTTAAATCTTCTGGTATTTTGCTAATGATACAATATCTATGGATATATTACCGGGGGTATGATGGAATCATTAATGATGGTGTTTTAAAAATGATTATGTTGATAATTTTGATTTTGGTTTCATTCTCTTTTCTACATATTTTTTCCCTCTTCTCCTTATAGTAGTCATTGTTGTCTCCTTTTGAAAGAGTGTTATAAACACATTATGGATGGATACATTAGTGACTGATGCAGCGCCCGGGCTCGCATTGTTTTTGGTGTGAAAGTGCATCATTAGAAAATGTTCCACTTGGCGGGGAAGCGCGTATTAACTGCGCTCGCAATGAAATGAGGTCGTGATAGATTGTTAAAGTTATAGAAAGCCATTAGGTTGAAATATGAACCTCTCAATTGTCATAATGAAGCGGGGGGCTATTTGCAGAGCGATCAGTGCGTTAGGAGACAATTGGAATCCATAATGACAGACACAATACATTATAGGCAGTAAGTTTAGGGCTTTAAGGTAGAAGAAGTAATCATATCTGCAAAGGATGTTGTTACAGAGCTTCCATTAACCTATGGTTCAGGGTCCTGGGACTCCTCATTTATGTCAGAGCCCATCTGAATATTTGCACGGTGAAAAGTAAGGAGGGCAGGAGACAAATCTGACAACTCTCTCAACATGAGCTCTTCTCAAAGAACCTGCTATGAAAATCCCTGAAGGCTTATACAAGGGCAGAACAGTCTAAGATCTATATCCGTTCAAGTCTTCAGGTTTGCAGGAACTGGATAAATAACATTATAAGGTCATTTCCGTAATTCAGAATGTACATTTAATGAAAGCAATGGATATGTTAGCATACAGTAAGTACTGTATATCAAGGAGCAGAAACACTCCTCTAAGTCTGTTTCCTATTCATTCTTAATTGAATTTGATTTTGGTCATTTTTTTCAGATCATTTTTTATTATTCGGTTACTGACATAAGATTAGCTGTTAGAAGTTTTTATTATAAAAGGTGTGGAAGAAAGTGCTGAAGAACATTCTTTAAATATCTAAATTGCTTTTGTAAGGAAAGGGAGCAACTACTCAGTTTCTTCAGCTCATTATTTCAAAAATATAACTAATACTATTATTTAACTGAAAAATGTGTATTTTCTGTGTTGCCAAGTTGTGTGTATACAAAACATTTTACTGTTTTATTTTGTAGAAAAAGGGCAGCACGATGGTGCAATGGTTAGCATTACTGCCTCACAGCACGGGGGCTTTGGGTTTAATTCCAGAGTTGGAGTGCTGTCTGCTTAGAATTTGTATGTTCTCCCTGTGTTTGCATGGGTTTCCTCCGGACGCTACAGTTTCTTCCCACAAACCAATAATATACCGGTAGTTTAGCTTCTGAGAAAATTGACCCTGGGTGTGAGTGTGTGAGTGTGTTGTATGTGTCCTGTGCAGGACTGGAAAACAATCTTCCTTCATAGACTTGATTATTAAGTCAGTTTTTATTTACAATTATACTGTATATTTATACTGTGTGTTGTTTAAGAATATTTCTGGGATTTTTTTAGTTCAGATTTTTTTTTCCCAAAAGTATGTATTTGTATTGGACTTTAGCAAAATACACTCAATATATGAGAATATGACTGTTATTAGAGTTCAGAAACCTTTAGTTTCTTTAGGATTGTGTTAGGGATAAACTGAAACTGAATTTTCATTCTTTAAAGTGTGCTCAAGAATATAGATTCAAACACTCAGCACAAACAAATTATATTTTTTGTTGAGCTTGCATGCATTTTTTCTTCCATATTTTTCGATGGTGTAGCAAAACTGTGGAAACATAAAGGATCCCCTTCTTTTTACTCTTATAAGTTTTTTTTCTCAAAATTTATGTTCTTATATTGCAATCCACTTAATATAAAGACACTGCAAAGTAATCATGATTGTTCACTTTAATAAAGATATATCTACATATACTAAATATATGCCACTTACTGTAGTTTTTATACATTAATCTAATGTAGTCCAGCTACTTTAATCTTTAAAGTGAAATTCTCAGAAGAATTGAAGAATTAAAGTAGTATACTTTTGTGATTAAAAAGATTTAACAATTCTTTACTCTGACTATAACACATGAATATACTGTAATAACAAGTAAATAATCATAAGAGAGTAATTAAAGATTTATTTGTGCTGAAAAGAAAAGAGACGCAATGTTTCAGCTGTGGAGCCTTCTCCAGCCTGAAGAAGGAATGAAAGGAGGAATAAACCTTTACTTGTTCCTTTGCAGCTTATGCATACTGACATAGCTACAGTACCTACTGTACTTGAACTATCGTAAGAGAATGAAATCTTTCATGAAATGAGATGAGCTCAAATGTCTGTAGAATGTCAGCAAATCGAAACCTTTTTGATAAATCCTTCACCTTTCATTGTAAGCAAGTTTATACTTTTTCCAGGCTGCTTAAAGTTTTTTAAATTAAATTAGCCTCTACTGAAAATAAAGGTGAATGTAATTAATTTGGTTTCTCTGATTACTGCTTCCCAACATACTCAAATTAAAAATAAGAGACACAATCAGCAGGAACTAATTGCCTAATCACACTAATAAAAACAGGATACTCTTAAGCAGCAGTGAATGTCCAGTTCTATCACTATGTGACCTTGTTGAGGTTTACATGGAATATGTCCCTTTAAACATTTTCTTTCAAAAAGAAATAAAGGAGGGAATTGGGGGGTGGGGGCAAGAGGGGTGCTTGTGGTTGTTGTTGTTAAGAAACTCCTGGTTCTTCTGAAAATTGAAAGCCTTCCATTTGAGAAATGAATTTATTTAAGTCACTGTATTTTTTTCCCATTAGTAAGTGTTTAGTTCAGCGTTTTAAATAATTGCGTTACCAGGAATGATATTTAAAATGCATTTGGGAGTCAATGAGGCGGGAAAGTGCCTACATGTTTTGCTGATGACACCCGGGCCATTTGGAAGACATCAAAGTAGAGAGGAGGTAGCCAAGATGCATATTATAAACTCATTATGGATATCATTTAAAAGGACGCACTTCAGCAACAAATACAATATTCCCCGTCTCTCTCTGGTAATGTGTGTTTGCAAAGTCGAAACTCTTTGATGCCTTCAGTTAATGTGACATCTATTATCGAACTGTAAAATCGA